CCCCCTACAATTTCGCCCCCCGGGGGGCGAAATTCCTAGGCCCCCCCTGGGGGCGAAAATCCTAGGAAATTCGCCCCCCTTTAGGAAATTCGCCCCCCTTTAGAAACTTCACCTTTTCTTTAGGATTTTTGTCCTCCGTTCAAAATTTCGCCCTTCCTAACAGTTACATGGGATAATTATTACATGGCTTTAGTCATTTGAAATCAGTATCAATTCAAAATTGTTAAGACAGAGCTTGAAATAACAATCGATCAATGATCGGCATGGAATTGCTTTTATAAAATAACATGTATATAACGCGTATTCTGATTGGTCGAAAGCCGTGTTTGGATCAGGCCATCCAAACACGGAAGACTACCGTGTTGTTGTTATTTTATAAAACAATTACTTTATGGTTTCCGTGTTTGGATGGACTGATCCGAACACTTGGGAATGTTGCTCGAGTTAAGAAAAGCGGGCAAAATCACTCGCCTTCGGCTCGTGATTTCGCTCGCTTTTCTTAACTCTCGCAACATTCCCGCGTGTTTGGATCAGGCCATCCAAACACGGAAACCATAAAGTAATTGTATAATGATCGGCGGAAAAGCAGAGTTTCGGTTTCCAACCTGAAAAAAATCAGGGAAAGTCATGATCGAGAAATTTGGGAACGTTATTTCAAGCCCTGTAAGAATACAAATTTAGAATTACATGTATCGAAAGGGCTTACACAGTTCACAGTTAATAGACTAAGACTTATGACGCTTCACAGCACACCATGCATATTTTGCATTTTTAGTGTTAATCCTTAAACTCATTGTTAAAAAGTAATCACCGTGGTGGTTATTGTAATTATTGGTATTGTTTTGCATCCAATTTTGTCGTTATCGGAAAATGTATGGCTTACAAGTTGTCACTATTTTTTACTTGCATTATTTCAATATAGTTTGTAAATTTCAGAAGCGAAGGGTAGAACTTGCCAATAAGCAATACTCCAATAATATACGTTTCAAAAAAGACAAAAAAGCTTTTAGTTTTGCAGAGTTACATTCTCGAATGCTTAAGGCACTAATAATATCAAAGTATCATGAAATTATTTGAATAAACCACACCACATATATATAATGCAATTTTCTTTGCGGAAGTTAAAAATCAAGATTACATCACTGACACTGACATGGAAAGTTGACGATTCAATGGACAATAGTCAATACGCTTCCCAACAAATTCCATAGATTTTTTATTAATCCTATAGTTTATTGTTAGCAAGTGATTAATGTGGCGGCTATTGTTAACACTGGTATTGATACAATTTGCATGCGATTGTTTTTATAATATGTTATGTCAACTTATGTGAATGTAACTGCCAGAAGAATACGACAACATGATTTTATGCGATCTCTGTGGGCAATGGTTCCACTTTAGATGTGTAGAATATGACACTAGTCTAAGTACCTCAAATGAGTGATTATGCAGATTGTGCACACCACCAGCTGCTAAGAAGCTTAAAATGTGTATGTGATTTTGTCTCCTTGTAATAAATAAATAAATCACACAATAAATCTTTTCAACTTGCAATCGTTTTTGTTCTTAGATCAAAAATTCAAAATTTATATGGGGGGGGGGGCGAAATTCCTAAAGGGGGGCGATATTCCTAGGAGATTCGCCCTCCTGGGGGGCGATATTCCTAGGAGATTCGCCCCGGGGGGGCGAATATCCTAGGAATATCGCCCCCCTTTTGAGAGGGGGGGGCGAATCTCCTGGGGGGGCGAATCTCCTGTGACACCGGCACCCTCCCCCATCGTTCGTTCGACACCAGTTGGTAACTGAACCACTGCGGCCGCTGAACCGGTGGGGTAATATAGGGGCATGTGCTCCTCCACCTTTTTTTAAGATGAAAAAACCTTTTTTAAGATTAAAGTACGAAAAAGTATTTCTTGAATGGACGCCGGAAACTAAAATACCCTTTTTTCAGTAGTAAACTGTAAAGGCCATTTCCGACGTTACAGAGACTTACCTCTGACGCGAACGTTAGGTTTAGCCAAAATCTAGCCTAAACTAAAGGCTAAACTCTAAAACACGGCGTTCTTCCGGCTAGCACGAGACGGACTTGACCGATAAAAGTTAGCAGACTCGGAAAGTATGGACTGATGGGGCACTTTTCTTTTCAAAAATTTTATTTGTAATTTATCCTTTGAAATAGCCTGCGTAGGGGCTCAACAGTCTTCTATTAATTTACCGATCAATTGAATTGCGACTAAAAAGTTTATCTAACTTACAAATATCTAAAAATTTATCTTTACTACTTGTTTATGTCATATCAAATTTAAAAACACGTTTAAAAACCTAAATTAAACGTTTTTAAGTTCTATAAAAGTTAAAGTTTTACGCCAGGATACCAGCTATTTCACCATTTTGTAGGTACCCTTCTACTTTCTGGTCCGCCTTCATTTTAACCAATCAGATCACGATCCACAAAAGCTCGTAATCTGATTGACTAAACGAAGTAATCCGTTAATAATCCCACCAAGCTTGGAAGAGTTTGGTCCCCAAGGCGCTATAAAATATGTGGCCCATAGCGAAAGTAACTGAGCCACGACAAAGTAAAATTAACTGCAACGGCAAAACAAAATAAACTCATGGGAAAATAAAGTTAACTCACGAAATTAACTCAGAGCAAAATAAAAAGTCACAGCAAAATAAAGTTAACAAGACGCTCGAAAGAGCGTTAACTCGCTGGGACTATACAACTTGGAATTCAGGCCCTAACTTTAAATAGGGCCTGACACAAAACTTGTCTAGATCGTGGGACGCCCATATGCTGACTCTTCCACAGTCCCTCATCCGTTATCCGTACGCGCGGTCGCGACATATTCCCAGCAAGCCCTGCGCTGCCATTGTTTTTCCACTGATCTCTATTCCTAACTGAAGCGACAAGGCAGGCCCACGTGTTATTTTTAGACCAGCATGTCCTCACCCTTATTTTAACGATAATCGTCATTAACCATTCGCCTTATTTTAATGATAATAGTCAAAATAGGGGAAACCTAACCCCGACCCAACCCCACTCCCTAACCTCTAACCTCCAATCCTAATCCCACATTAATCCTAGGCATTACCTGACTTTCCACATTAGGCAATAGGCATTACTGATTTTCAAATACAATTATACGAATCAGTTCAACACGTATACATGAAGAACCGAGGTATTTGCTACCGATGTCCGTATGTAGTGCTGGCTCAAATTTCAAAGTTTCAAGATGGCGGATGAGAATAATCTTGTCAGTGTAAAGGTAAGCACAAATTTGTTGAAGCATGAAGTCAAAGATTAAATAAATTTGCTCGAATTTCTTTATGTCACTTCATTTCTCACATAATTTACTTGCTACGCTGTGGCGATAAGATAGATTTAATTTGGTATTATATTCGAAAAATTGTTGATTTGTACATTTGCGACGTGGCCAACTCGGCCCAACTGTCCAATGTCCTTGTGCTGATGTACTGCATCAATTAGCGTACTAATTGTGTTCATTCACATTGATTGAATTTGCGGAGCAATTATAGAATACCTTACCAATTCAAAGCTTCAATTATGGTCAATTATGTTGTAATGCTATAAACGATAATAATGTATCAGTCAATTCCAGTGGTGCCCGGGCCACCCCAGGGAATTAGCCATTTCTGGAAAGAAAATGGCTATGTCCCCACCCCAGGGAAAGAAGAACTGTGCTAAAGCCCCACCCCTGGGCAAACAAATTGGGTCTATATCCAGTGGCGGACCAGCCAAAATTCTAACTGTAGTGTTTTCAAAGACCTCGCATTTTATTAGGCTAAAGCCGAACATTTATGTTACACCAAACATGAGATTGCGTGGGAAAACTCTAAAGTAATTACCACAAACAATCGCTGTGGTCAAAGACTTTGCCTAGAAGCGTGGCATATAAATATGAGTAATCATGCTTTGAATAGGGATGACGGTGCCTATTTGCCAGAGGAATATATGCATCTCATTGGCAGGTGACATCATCCCTTGGGAATTTAAGAAGCCATGATTGCAATTTTAGATAACCCCTGATGAAGACACTAGACTGGAGTGTCGAAATGTTGGGTCTTGATTACAATTCGACTGGGCTTTGTACAGCCTAGACCTAGGCCTTCTAGTCTTATTTATATTTTTTCATATTCAGCGCTTTTTCACATGAAAAGACTGGGACTAGGTGATTTGGGGGCGGGGCGGAGGAACCAAGCCTAGAAGGCCTAGTTGATTTCCCAACAACAAGGCCAAAACTGCCCTGAAACTGCCCTGGTTGCGAAATGCCCATTTATTGCGTTCTCGAACAGAATTATTTACAACTTAACGGCGAATTTAAACCGATACAGGTAAAATAAACTCATTTATAGTATAAACTTACTATTTTTATTTGTATACACGTCTAGAAAATCGTTTTTTTATCATAAAGTTCGAAGCAACACTATTATTTAATATGTTGACAAGGTGTAGCAAAAGAACAAAATGAGTCAAAATATATACCAAAAGTAGAATCTTTCATGAAATTTTGTCTTATACACAAGTACATTAATATATATTTTCTCAATTTTGGCAAGAAGCAGTCTTGTTTTTGTAAAATATACAAAATAAAACGGATACATATATTATTAGCCCGTACAGTACTGTATATAAAAACGTACATTGTTTATACAAATGGTATATCTGTAATATTTGAACACTAATTTCAAATTCCTCATTCCCAATTTGCAAATATAGTTATTTAAAGCAAAACAGTAGATTGTCTTGCGAATAAAAGAATTATTATTTTGTGCCGTTTCGCTACACCTTGTCAACATATATAAATAGTGTTGTTTCAAACTTTATGATAAAAACCCCGATTTTCTAGACGTGTATACAAATAAAAATAGTAAGTTTATACTATAAATGAGTTTATTTTACCTGTATCGGTTTAAATTCGCTGTTAAGTTGCAAATAATTCTGTTTGAGAACGCAACAATTGGGCATTTCGCAATCAGGGCAGTTTCAGGGCAGTTTTGGCTTTGTTGTTGGGAAATCCACTAGGCCTTCTATATTTCCGCTTGCGTCAGGCTTGTGTCCTTCCTCCGCCCCGCCCCCAAATCACCTAGTCCCAGTCATTTCATGTGAAAAAGCGCTGAATATTAAAAAAATATAAATAAAAATAGAAGGCCTAGGTCTAGGCTGGGCTTTGTAATCATTTATTTAAACCAGAGTAGCGAGCGAAACATGACTGATATACCTGGTTGCAGTGAACGAACAAACTTTAAATCACTTCTAAATATTTGGAAAATTTAAACTAGAATAGAATGTTGAAAATTTATAGATTTAGTGAAAGAAGAACCGTGTTTATGGAACACAGCCTTTCGATCTTACAAAGATCAAACGAAAAAGAAGAATGTCTGGGCTAATATTGCTAGTAAAATGGACAAAGACAGAGTGTAGTAGCCTATTAATAATATCTTCTGACAAATTCATTGTTTGTGCAGCTAATCGTTAAGCCATATTTGTTTTTAAAGTTGGCGCGCTTTTTTCCCCGTGCACGAAATGGAAATGGAAATGCTACTGAAAATGCTGTATATCCATAGGTTTTAAGTTGGAAAGATCGTTCAGTAAGACGCCATTTATCTGCTGACGAACGTAGCTGTCTCACTGGTTCATAACGGTTTACAAGTTCTTGTGGATATTTAGGAGCTACATTGATTATTTTAAAACGCATTAAATTAATCTTAAATACTATTCTTTGTTGAACTTGCAACCAGTGCAGATCTCTTAGAGTTGAACTGATGTGATCATATACTTACATTAGCAAGCTATAACGCGTGCTGCTGCATTTTGTATATACATTTTGCAGCTTTTTCCTACTTATAGGTAGACCATATACAAAAATGAATTACAAACAAAAGATTGAATTAGAACTTCAGTAGTGTCAGCATTAATATACTTTCTGATCATATTCCTAAGATAGTTAGGACTCCTTTATTAACTATATACGTCATGTATGATTTGTGTACTCTATGACCGCACTATTCTAGTTATTTCCTGGTTCTCTATATTATAATTCACCCTGATAATCAAATATACATGGTCATGTCTACTGGCTCTTGATCGTCGGCAAAGGCCAGCTGAAAATTTGGCTCATTATAAAGCATGCATACAAAGCATATACATCATTAACGAACCACAAAACTCAAGGTTGGAACCAAGTTCAACGTTGTGACTGTGTCACATAAAACTCACTTGTCGACTCAAGGCTATATTTTCAATTAGCTTGGCACGTAATTTTGAAAATGGTGCACAACTGGAGTTCTTCCTTGACATATATAAAAACATCAGGCAGATCCCTGAATGAATTACTAAACTACTAGAAAATACATGCATGCAGAAACCCTCGCCTTGCTGACGAAACCGTTGTATTTTCCGAACAGGAAGTATCTAGAGTAGTTGTCATGGTAACACGATAATTTTTTAAGAATATTCTTACAAATGAAAATCGCCTAAAAATATCACTTTTAATTACAAAACTATCAATTTCCCAACATATATATGTTAGGTATGTCATTATACGTAATACAAGCTTCAATTTAAGGTAAAATTCAACCACAAACAATTCACAAAACGTTTTAAAGTGTTCTTTATAAAACTAAACTGCCTTTAACTATTAAATGGCTTTATCGATAAACTTTGAGTTTGCAATAAAATGATTTCAAATTCTCGCTTGCAAATAACTTTGGTCTTTGCTTTATTTTTTATTTAAAAAATTCAATATAATAAAAAAGGGAATCAATATTATAGTTACACTGAAATTTATATATGCTGTCTTGTTTAGTTGTTTCATATACGCAAAGGTCGTCGGGTTTTAGAGTCATTATAAAATCAATATTTAAAACAAACTTACCTTCGTTAACGTCGACTCCCTTCTTTTAGCTGATTCTTTCGCCCTTACTTTCTTGAAATTTACAAAATCTTGCAGAAATACGAGCAAAAATGAAATATATTTGCAAGAAATTTATCAATCATCAAATCAAGAAATGTTTGCTATTTCGCTGTCGTCATGCAGTCGTTATAATGCAAACTTTAAATTGGACCAATCAGTGTCCGTTATTCATGACAATCCGCCATATTTTTGAGATCAGTGAGGATGACCACCCATCGCTGGTGACCGACGCCCGCGCTCATTGATGAACTTTAGACTTCGCTAATGCTTTCGTTTCCCCGGGTGTAAATAGCCGGGGGGAATTAGTACCCTCGCACGGCGCTTCGCGCCGCCGGCTCGGGGACAAACTGTAGTCAATGAATACAACATGCGAAAATGACCAATCAGCTGCCCTCATGCCAATCCATTACTTTCAATCCCACCTTGACTCATCCAATCAAAACTTAATTATCCATTTATATCAGATGTTATTTCAATTGAAATATTGCAGTAATATATAGTAATAGAAGAATGGGAAAAACCGGGCATTCCCTACTTATTTTCTGTGACAAGAAATAGGTTTCGCCTCAGTGGTCTGATTGCATATCAAATAAGCTGAATTCAACCAAAGAAAGATATGAGAATTTTGTGTGAAATGACTTATTCGACAGTTCAAGGGGTTCTTTCTATCTAAACATACTCAAATTTTGTTGCCAATTATACCCTTTATTTTTTTGGAGAAAATACCTGCCCCCATACCTGTATACTATATATAGTGAAGGCATTAATATATATAGTGTATTACAATACAGTGTGCTTAACATTTTTTTCAGATAAATGACGACATAGACCCAGAAAACTTTGGTGGTAAGGCACTTATTCACTATATAGTTGAATACAGTAATAAAAATTATCTTTACTATTACTTATACGCAGTGCTGTAGAATCCTTGCACATAATTATGCAGATTAGTTCAGTCTTCATTAGTACGCTGGACAAGTGTTTGTTTCCATTTATTATTTTCCTGAAAAAATAGAGGATGCGTAGCCAGGTTGAAACATAATTTATTTATCGAACGTTCTCTGACTAAATATTTAAATTCCTCATTTGTAACATAGCATAGTTTCATATTTCATACCACCTACCGAAGGCTATAGACTGATCGCCTAAAGCTTGTAGAAATAAATATTTAGTCAGAGAACGTTCAATAAATAAATTAAATTATTTTCTTGTTATGTATTAGTGGGCTCGCACTTTCCAGAAAAAGCATTTCTAAGAAAGGTAACGACGATAAGTATGGAAAATGCAATTTAAATTACGTTTAAATAAGGCA